TGAGATTCGGAGTTTTATGGGATTGGCAGGCTATTATGGACGATTTGTTCAGAGTTTCTCTACTATTACAGGTCCATTAACTAGATTGACTCGACATGATGTGCGCTTTCAGTGGTCTGATGAGTGTGAGCAGATTTTTCAAAAACTTAAGACTTTGTTGACTTCAGCTCCTATGTTGACTCTACCTGAGGAGGGTGTAGACTTTACAGTGTATTGTGATGCTTCAGGAGTTGGATTGGGTGGTTTGTTGATGAAGAAGGGGAAAGTGATTGTTTATGCTTCTAGGAAATTGAAGTCCCATGAGAAGAACTACCCTACTCATGATTTGGAGTTGGCGGCTGTGGTATTTGTACTTAAGTTATGGCGTCATTATTTGTATGGAGTGCATTGTGAGATCTTCAATGATCATCGGAGTCTTCAGTATATCTTTAGTCAGAGAGATTTGAACTTGAGGCAGCGAAGATGGCTTGAGTTGCTGAAGGACTATGATGTCACCATTCTGTATCATCCGGGGAAGGCCAATGTTGTGGCCGACGCTTTGAGTAGGAAGACTCGTAGCATGGGGAGTCTGGCCTCTCTTAGTATTGAGGAGAGACCATTGGCTAGAGATGTTCAATTGTTAGTTAACAGTCTTGTCCGATTGCAGATCATAGAGGAGAGTGATGGGATGATTGCTTTTATTGAGGCTCGATCTTCTTTAGTCGAGCAGATCCGTGCACACCAGTTTAATGATGAAAAGTTATGTCTCATTCGAGACAAAGTATTGAGAGGGGAAGATAGAGAGGTTGTCCTTGATATAGATGGTGTCTTGAGGGTCGGAGGCAGGATTTGTGTGCCTAAGAGATGCAATTTGATTAGATTGATCCTTGAGGAGGCCCATTATTCTCGGTATTCCATCCACCGGGAGCGACGAAGATGTATCATGATCTGAGTCAGCATTACTGGTGGTGTGGGATGAAAAGAGATATTACAGACGTTGTTTCGAGGTGTTTGACTTGCCAGCAGTTCAAGTGTGAGCACCAGCGGCCCAGGGGTGTATCTTAGAGGATACCTATTCCTACTTGGAAGTGGGAGCGGGTCACTATGTACTTTGTTGTGGGTTTACCTACCACAGCGGGTGGTTATGACTCCTTTTGGGTTATTGTTGATAGGCTGAACAAGTCTGCCCACTTCATTCCGGTTCGGGTGAAGTATACGGCAGAAAAGTTAGCCGAGCCATATATCAGTCAGATTGTGCGACTACATAGAGTTCCAATTTCTATCCTATCAGATCGGGGTTCACTATTTACTTCTCATTTCTGGAAGGCATTACAACATGGTTTGGGTACTCAGTTAGATATGAGTACGGCATTTCACCCTCAAACAGATGGTCAATCTTAGCGGACCATTTAGGTATTGGAAGATATGCTTCGAGCGTGTGTGATCGATTTTGGTGCTAGATGGGATCAACATTTACCCTTAGCGGAGTTTGCCTATAATAACAATTATCACTCTATTATCCAGATGGCCCCATTTGAGGCGTTGTATGGAAGACGGTGTAGGTCTCTGATTGGTTGGTTTGATTCGGCGGAGATGGACTCTTTGGATACAGACTTTCTTTGAGATGCTATGGAGCAAGTCCGTATGATTCAGTATAGATTATTTACAGCTCAGAGTCGACAGAAGAGTTATGCAGACCGGAGAGTTAGAGCCTTAGTGTTTATGGAGGGTGATCATGTTTGTCTCCAAGTATCACCCATGAAGGGTATAATGAGGTTTGGAAAGAAGGGCAAGCTTAGCCCTAGGTTCATTGGACCTTTTGAGATTTTGAGCCGAGTGGGAGAGGTGGCCTATAAGTTGGCCTTGCCACCTAGTTTGTCGGTAGTTCATCCTATTTTCCATGTCTCTATGGTTCGGAAGTATATTTCGGATGAATCTCATGTGATTTCACTCGATTCTGTGGAGCTGGGTCCAGACTTGACATATGAAGAGGAGCCTATAGCTATATTGGATTGGCAAATCCAAAAGCTTAGGACCGAGGAGCTTGTTTCAGTGAAGGTGCAATGGAAGCACCGTTCAGTAAGAGAAGCAACTTGGGAGACGGAGTCTGACATGCGTGCCAGATATCCTCAACTTTTTGAAGCTTCAGGTAATCACTTTTACTCTATGTTCAAGGACGAACATGATTTTTAGTGGTGGATAATGTAATGACCCAAAATCTTCTCTTTAGAATTTTTGAATATTTATTTAACTTAAGTTAATTAATCGATAGTTTATGGGCTAAAGTGATAATTTATTTAAGACCCTATACCCTTTAGTCTATATTTAATAAAAAATAAGTGAGTAAAATTTATCACTTTTAATACATAATTAATTGAGATAAGAAGTAAAAGGGGGGAAAAGGAATGAATCAGGGTTTTGGCATCTTGCGAACTGCTTCAGGTACTTGCATCAAACCTGCATGTTCTTCAATAATTTCTTCATATATATACATGTCTGGAAATAATATTATATTAAATGGGAGAGGAATGATTTGCTTGGTAAGTTTGTAGATTAGATAGGTGTCATATACCCCTTTCTTTTTACACTTAACTTTGTACCAATTTTGGTTTGCCATTAATGTAGTGATGATTGGTCAATCATTGCCTTTTTAGAATTTATCCTTAGAAAATAAGAATTTATGGATTATAGGGATACAATATGTCATTGTATGTTGATTAGGTGGAGTAGTATAGATTATAAGATTTTTTTTAAAATTATTATTAGTTTTCTTTTTATTATTATATATTATCGTATTATGAGTCAAACTTTAATATATTGGTATGGCTAATTAAATGTTAAATTTATGACATTGAAAAAAATAAAACTTGACCATAGGCTTTAAACTTGGAATTTTGATAATTGAAATATCAATTGACCTTAACATTAGGAACTTGATTGTATACTCGAGTAAGTTTTTGAGTGAGTTTAGAGTCTAGACTAGACACAAAGTAATGTGGATATTTTTCGTCTTGAAATCTTATTATGGACACTTATTTGAATAGATTATTTTGAGTTGAAAGTTCAACAAAAAGGGAAGACTCAAGTTCCAAAGTGATTGTTCTACTATTTGAGGCAAGTGGATTTCTAAACCCTTGTTAAGCGTATGAAATTCGTGTATTACCTTGTGTAGTTTTGAGAATGACTCGGAGACTTGTTGCTTATTTGTTGGTGTTGTATTCCTTGTAGTAAATTGTGTTTTGTTATCAAAATGGTTATCTCCTCATTTTCATTTGAGCATGTCCTTTGCATTGTATCTGAGATATGGTTGTGGTAAGAGGATGTACCATTTTGAGGGTCGTATAGCGCACCGCAATGGATATTATATTTTGAGGGACGTATCGCGCGCCGTGAAGGTTACTATTATCGAGGGTCATGTCGTGCACCGCGACAGATACATGGACAGATATGTCCCCCATGGGTCCCGGACTGAGAGATAGCGGGTGTGTATCGTTAAGAAAGACATGCATCACTATATTTTACATTGCATCTCATAGCATTGCACATTTTATTATTGATGAACTTGAACACGTGTTTTTACTGATCTTGTGATTGTTGAATATTGAATTGTTATTGAGAATGTGTAAACTGATAGAGTGTGGTTATTGAGTTGTGTGTATGGTAAACTGTAAACTGTTAGGCTGTAGCGTGGAAGTTTAGATAGGGGTCAAAGAGTACCCGTATTTTGTTTACTTAACTCGTGTTTAGAGGTTCGCTTGTTGGGTACCGCGTGGTTTGGTACTCACCCCTTGCTTCTACATATTTTTGTAGGTTACGAGCCCGGATCTTCGTGAAACCTGTCATTCTTTTCGTTTTCGAGGCATCTTGTGAAGGGTTGTGAGGTAGTTGTTTGTCATCTCAGCGAACTTTCCTACTCCAGTTTATGACTTTGTTTTTACTTGAAAGACAACTTCATTTTAGACTTCTAATTTATTTCAATTCTAATATTGATGTTAGAGGCTTGAGCACGTGACAACCTGGTTTTGGAATTGAATTATTATAACTTGATTTCATAATAGAGATTGTTGTTGGATTGTCATTTACTTCCGCACTTTGTTAGATATTGGGTTTTAGGCTGACTTGTCTTGGTTGGATAAGACAAGTGCCATCACACCTATTTTTGGGTCGTGAAAACTACCCTACTAATCTTATAATATAATTACAAATAGTCCAAAAAAATTTATTTAGAATCTATCGAAGGAGTCCTTTATGAAATAAAATGCTCTATTGCTCAAATTGAACAAATGGGTCGTTATATGAATCCATACCCCTCGAGATGTAATTGAAGATATTAGAGAATTGTATTAGGTTGAGATATCGTATCAAGAAGCATGGCATGCTAGAGAACGTGCACTAGAAATGCTTAAGGGTAAGCCATCAGAATGATATAAGCAGATGTCAAGATACATATGGATGCTGAATAAAGTGTATCCAAATTCATATATAAGGATATAAAAGACTGAAGATAATAAATTCATGTATCTATTCATAGCCCTAAGACCGTTTATAAGAGGGTTCGACTACTGCAGGCCTGTAGTTGTTGTGGACGCTGCACATCTTGGCGGGGCTTACAAGGGTACTTTGTATCAGCAAGCACTCGATGGTGCAGGTATGACTGTTATAATTTTGATATAATGTAAAACTTGTTTTATATTTATATTAATATATCTTAGTGTAAACATTGTGTATCATGAAGTTAAATGTGTGCTTCTTTTTAATTAGGATGCATATTGCCATTGGCATATGGTGTTGTATACACTGAAAATGACTGTTCGTGGACATAATTCTTCGAACATTTCAAAAATGCATTTGGTGAGCGTGAAAACATTTGTATTGTATCAGATAGAAATGAAAGTATCATAAAGAGTGTAAGCATTGGGAACCCAAATGTACCTCATTGTGCATGCATATGGAATCTTTGGAAGAATGTATGTTCAAGCTTCAAAAGGAGTAAAAACACACTAAGTGATAAATTTTACTCAATGGAAAAAGCATACAGAAAGGAAGATTTTGATAAATTAATGGCTAAGGTTGTGAAAGTTGATCATAGGATGAAGGATTACTTTGAAGATGCTGGTTATGAGAAGTGGTCAAGAGTTCATTCAATCATAAACAGAGGTAGAATGATGACTTCGAACATCATTGAGTGTATCAATGGATACCTTGTCGATGCACGTAAGTTATCTATAATAGACTTCTTGGAGGAAGCTAGACTTCTATTTGGTAGTTGGAACTATAAAAATAGAGAAATAGCGACATATATAAAGGACACATTGGGCCGAAGAATTGAGGAGATATTGATTGTAAACGCATCTAAAAGTTCAAAGATGAAGATATTTATCAATTTCCCTAAAAATATGTTTCATGTATCAGAAACAAACTGATTTTCAATGATAACTGTTGTTTTGGAAATGATATATAAATTGTATATTACGAAATGTATCACTAACTTCTTAAATTTTTAGGTTGTTCCATCATATGAATATATTTTCACAGTTCATGAAGCCGGAAGAAGATACATTGTATGCCTTGAGAGGAAAACTTGCACATGTGGAAGGTTTCAACATGATGAGATACCTTGCACACACGCAATTGCAGTTTTGAAGCATGAGAATGTTACAAATTTGCACCCATATTGCTCTGATTACTACAAGCCGTATGCATTAGAAAAAATGTACGAGGTTGCAATGGTTCCAATGCCAGATAAGGAGGATTGGAACATTCCAGACTATGTTTTAGATGAAATTGTCTGGCCACCTAGGTATAGAAGGTTGTTTGGACGACCAAGAAAGCGAAGAAAGAAAAATGCGGATGAGAAAATAACAGTGAACAATAATTCTTCTGGGCAATGTGCACAAGAAGGACATAACAGGAGAACTTGTACTTTCTTCCAGAAAGAGAATTGAAATAATGTTTTAAAGTAGGACATTAGTGTTCATGGTACTTATATCTATTTTTTTCTTTAGAATTTGGACTAAATAAAGTGTATTGGTTATACAACTTAATTTGATGTTCAAATATATGCCTTTCCTGGTAATGCCAAACTTAAACTCCAAATTTGATAAATAAATAGATTCAACAGTGGTGCATTTCAATGTAACAGTAATTCCAGATGAGTTTGTTTATGTATATGATGTATCATATACATTCATATGATTGAAAAGATGTTATACGTTTCGTGTATACTGCCTTATGAGTTATTTAAGTGTCCCAAAACTTGACTTGTTCAATTGTTTACTATATGTTTCGTTTATACTGCCTTACGAGTTATAATTTTTATATATTATATTCAACAGTGGTGCGTTTCAATGTAATAGTAATTTGTGATTAGTTTGTTTATGTATATGATGTATCATATACATTCATGTAATTGAAAAGATGTTATATGTTTCGCGTATACTGTCTTATGAGTTATTCAAGTGTCCCAAAACTTGACTTGTTCAAATGTTTACTATATGTTCTATGTATACTGCCTTATGAATTATAATTTTGATATATTATATTCAACAGTGGTGCGTTTCAATGTAATAGTAATTTGTGATTAGTTTGTTTATGTATATGATGTATCATATACATTCATACAATTCAAGTGGCTAATATATAACTGCAATTTGTATATGTATATATTATAACTTATGTATCATAAACATCATTTTTTTAAGTGAAATACTTAAACTCAAACAATAATGTATCATACACATTAGAACTTAAGTATCATATTCGTCATTTTGTAAATTAACTTTTAAAAATACATAAACTCAAACAATAAAAAATTTGTACCTTAACGTTATAAAGCAATAACTGTGTCTAAAACAATAACTTGAAAACACATAATATTAATAACTAACAAACTATTGTAATACCAATAAGCTTTTAGAAAAACACAAAAGATAATTGTCTTCGACACAAAACAACATAAAAACTTGTTCATCATGTCCCTGCTAATTACTAATCTATGTTAACAATATCATCTTCAGTTGGTGTTGTGAATTGACCCTTAGGCTTTGGTGGATCGTCATTATCACTTATGTATCCACCATTGACCTTGTCGCTACCGTATCTCCATAACAATATTGCATATCTATTGCGTAGGTAATTTGCAAGATGTCCATCAGTATCAGGTGGTATAACAAGTTGGTCACTCAAAAACTTTGCAAATGTTGCTACGTATAACTCGCAGTCCCTACAACAAAATACATGATATAAATTTGTAAAATAGCTTACACATATATTGTAGACCAGAATTTAAATACTTACAGGCTATCGTCTTCTTGTTGCATGATACCTTTAGCGTATTCAATGTTGAATGTAGATGAACAACACCCCCCCTAGAAACTTGAAAGGAATATGTGACTCTAAGAGTACACCCGTTTGTTTGTCCTTGTATGCATCAAGAACTGACCAGTTTGTCCACTCAGTGTTTTCAAAGAAACCACTGTCAATGAGGTAAGAAGGTAGCATCCTTGACAGCTTTTTTATCTCTTCAGAATATACACGTTTCCTTGTGCCCAAAGAAGAGTCATACACGTGTATCAACCTCTTATTTAATTCAACAACAGCTAACACCCAATGAAAATTTCCATCATAATTATATTGGAATATAAACATCGTCTGCCAGATTCCATGGTAATCCAGCTGGTATTGAAAAACATTTCATGACGTTGATTATTGACCTCTCATGTACTGATATAGCTCTTGCACGATCAAGGTGTTCTTGGGTACTAATATCATCATCAGCCTCATTATTATAATACCTATCATGGGTATTGTTGATATATATGCTGAAGAAATAATTGACTGTTGTGTATCTGTATTGATCCATGTTTCAAAGTTTTTATTTTTTACGAAGGTAGTAAAAAATAACATCGATGTACTACAAAAAAAATATAAACATAATTACACATTTGAAAAACATTTAATGAAAATAAAATACTAGACATTGAAAGTGATATATGATTTTGATATGTATATATAACATATTTACTCAATGTATCATATACATTATTATAAAAATATATTATGCATTTACATATCGAATTACCTGATCAGTCCAACAGTTTTTAGGCTGAGACATGGCACAAAACCAATTCTTTTTTGACGGATATGCAACGACATAATCCATCCTTTCAAAACCCAATGAAGATGCTCTTGATTTGATTTATCCTCTGATGGTTTCCTATAGCATTAAGCGTACTGAAAAGATGTTATTCAAAAGTATAACAATAGTTGCAATTTGAAAATTGAACAGATTCAGTACAATAATATAAAACTTACTTTTTTTAATGAGCTTCAAGAAGCCCTGTAGTAACCCACTCAATAAACTCATCAATCAGATATGAAGGGGCTTGGTTTGTGATCTCACATCCTTGAAATGGAAAATTTGGACGAATTACATCAGTCATGACCGCTTTTCCTTTTTCACTTGACCCAAATGAAGTTAAATAAGGGATTTGCAGTTTCTCGAATGCATCCGGATACGTGCATGAGGAGTATTTATTTCGCTTCAGACAACAATATCTGTGATTGGAATATCAATTGGTAATTGACTGCCTGAAAGCAAATTTGATTTTCGGTTAAATCCTGTTGATTTGCAAGAATAGGCAGACTTCCTAGATCAACAATAAGTGTATTTATGGCTTCTCGTGTATCTGGCGATATTGAACCTGATGGTGTAGAATCCTATATGGTTTACACTGATAATTAAAAATAGTTTGATAGACATATGTTATTGATATGAAACATGAAGAATAAATTACCGATGTATCTTCGTTCATTGTTCCTTCAAATAAATGATGAGGCGTTTGTGCTGATGGAGCATCCTGAATAAAAAATGTACAGATCAATTTATGATACCTTAAACAACAAATAATTATACACAAAAGGATTGTTAATGTATCAAGGACAGATAACAGCAAACTACGAATTATATATAGGAGACAAACAAATTTAAGTAGTCACATAGCTATGTATCTTGCAATGGACTGTATAATCTACACACTAAATAAAAAAGTATAGTATCATACACAGGAACTTGAAAAAAAACTACGTATGTGAACAGTAAAAAACATGTATCATATTAATCCAATTAAATTGTAATGTATCATAATGATCAAATAAAATAGCAATGTATCATAATAATATAATTAAACTTAAACGTATCATACTGGCACATTTTCATGTATCACTGAAAAGTGGATGAATACTAATAATCAAATTACTCTGCTAAAATTACCTTACTGTGTTCACATGTTTCATCAGTATGATGACTATTTGCATTTGGGGATTGAAGTTATTCTTCAATGTATCTTCAGTCTCTATTTTTTAAAGAAAAATAAGTTAATGATAAATTATATAATTTTATATACATAATTAATAAAGTAAAGTAAACCTGATTGTCAACATCAAAATCAACAACACCAATGTTTGATAATTATTGACCAAATTCCATTTGTATCGGAGAGGTTGCTTCGCGTCCATCATTTCCTTCTTCATCGGAAACTTCAACCATGTGCAGTGTAGACTTGTCACCCATCTCCTTCATTAAATCAATTTGTAACATAATGACCTATGAAAATTATAACACACAACGAAAATACACATACACAATACATTACTTTTGGTGTTGGCCATCCTCCCAATTCGTAGAATTCATCACCTCAATGTGATTTTCCTTTATCAAATTCACAAGATACTCAAATTTACTGTCAACCTATTAAAAAAATTACACATTCAGTTTTATATTTATGAAACATTAAAAAAATTAATATCGTTACTTACGTATTCCTTCATATGTTGTTTCAGTTCTTCAATATCGGAATATGCAGACTTATCTTTTGGGACTTGTGAAGATACATTAGCATGCGGAGTAGGTTCTTCAGCTGGCATTGAGAATGACTGATTTAATGGAGGCATTAACTGCTTTGACAAAGTTTTCGAACCCTTTGTTTTATGTTTATCAATATTCTTTCTCCTCTTGGGTGGTGGTAGAGATGATGTATCAGATACACGTGAGTATCTTCTCAATAAAATACCAGGAGGGCTTGTTGAGAAATCCTCAAAACCTGACTTATCTTTAGTTTGCACTTTTTTTTTTCAACAACTGGTGGCGTGGATAGTTCATTTTTGTTCACATCGTGAATATCAGGTAAATCAAGAGCTTCCACCTCATCTGGCGTTGGTACAATGTTTAAACAAGCATTCTGCAATTAAAATGGTTTAATGTTATAACAATATTATGTATCATACAAACTGTTATTTACAACAAAAATTATAAAGGTTATTGATAAACTATTAAAAGGTAATTTAAAATTAATGTTACCTCGGAGATAATGCTAGACATTAAATTTTCATATTTTGGCTTTTCACCCACCACTGTCCAATTACATATCCTCGAAATACCATTCGCTACTTTAACAACAAAGTTTGGACTTAGACTAGATGCACATTTGTGAATCCAAACGTTGAGTGCATAAGGCATACCAAATAAGCGATACATTTGTTTGCTTTGGTCGAAGTCTTGCCTGAGTGATGTAATTATCTTATTGAATGTAATCTGACCCCAAGGATACATTTCATACCTATCATCTTCGACCATTAGAAATTCTTCTATACATATGAAGGTCTCACCAAGATGGCATAACATGAAAGTATTGATGAAGTATAATATTGTCATTTCCACAGATTCATGTGTGGTCTCCAAATTACCCATTGTAAAACACTGTGTCAATCTACTCTTGGTTATACCTGTAGGACAATCAGGGAAATATTTTTGTAATAATCGGCTCGGAGTGGAATTAGGATATGAAAAATCCTTAACATTTCATTTGCATTTAAGGCCAGTTACAATGGAAAATTCCTATATACCAAACACCAATACATTCCCATTAGCATGACAAACATGCAGTAC